ATTCCACTTTCCACAAGTTTGATATGTGAGGGGCCTTCCCTTCATTGTTGGAGACTGCTGTTTGCACAGGTTGCATGTCAATTCATTGGCCTTTCTTTATTGCCCGGTTTTTCCCCTTAACTTATCTCTCTTTCCACTTATTGATCTATGTCGGAGCATGAAGCCAAAACTTGTTGATTCACATAAAATCATAAATAAATAAATAAATAAAAGAGAAAGCTGGGATGCAAGCTCCAACTTCTTTTATTGTAGGCATGCCTTGCGATTCACAATCACGTCACTTCCTGCAGTACACATTCCAGGAGGCAGCTTTCACAGAATTTACAGTCATAATGTAACGGGGCCATTGCACTTCTGTATTGACGCTGCCTGTTTTCAAGGAAGTGGCAGTTTTCTTGGAATTTTAACAGCCCTTTTCAAAGAGCCTGGATTGTTTCAGCTCCTCTGCTCATTACCTTTAGTTGGGGAAAAAAACACAAATTTCTAATATATTTTATTTCAAATTTAATGACCAGTTTGAATCAGATCCCTGTCATGGCACAACCAATGCCCTCAGCAGTGTTGTTTAATAATCTGTAACTGCATGCAGGCGATGTCTTTTACAAGAGTAGTTGATGTCATCATGGGTGGTAACAGACCATGAACAGTTCTGCGAAAAATGTGATGGGAAAAGGGTGATAGCTAGATAATATGTGATCAGGAACCTTATTTAAGGAAAACCACACACAGACAGAAGTCAGTAGCTTGGCTTATTCTGAACAGAACACCTAAAAGCGACTTTGAGATCTCTGGCCTCAAATTAAACAAATTCCTGACCTGGACTCTGGATTACCAGCTGCAAATGGATATGATGAGCAACACTATGTGGTGTGACACACAGATTAGTCATAATATTCTAACATATTTTCACCCATTTCAAGCACATGGAAGGCATATCATTTAAAGTTGTAAGTACCATTTTGCATTGCTTGACAGATAAGCATTCACTTTGATAACTAATTTGGCATTTTTCCACCTCTGCAATGTTTATGTGCTTAAAATGTTGCATATCCACATCTAATTATATCACCTTCACCTTCAGAGTATTTGTGCATCTGCAAGACTGGATTTATGGGGGGGGTCATAATATGAATATTATGGATGAGTACAGGGTGAGGATATGGTGAGATGTTCCTACTGGCAAAAGTTCAAAGCCAGTTTTAATAAGCTCTGAAATCCATTCCTTGACCAGAGAGAGGTTCTCACCGAGTCAGATGAAAGCCACCCTTCTGACCAATCAATTAGCTGGGAAAGGTTCAGGCAGAAATTGCACCACAAAAAAGTTATTTCTTGTTCATTGTGGTTTGTATGGATGAGAATGCAATATTTTTAAATCATATTTGTTTTACATCACTCAGAGCCTTAACAAAATGGTAGTATACTATCCCAAAAGAATTGTAAAAATAAGAGGTTTTGTCAAGTTAGATTTCATTTTAACTCTGTTAAATTGGAGTACAAGTCTCTCCTTTAACAGTCACATTCTTATAAACCTGCCATAAATTTGTCAGCAAAGACCAAATCCATTGTTGTTTCAAAGTTGTGACAGACAGAATGGCTCTTTTTATGCTTTCTTTGCCAGAAAACAACTGATTGCAAATAGGATACTGCTGGAACCCCAGACTTTATTTGTTTCCCAGCTGCCCCTCCTACCCTTCTCTCCCATCCTCTTCCTCACTCCCATATTGGTTCTATTGTATTCAGATTCATTTAAAGACAGGTTTGATTTCTTTAACTCAGAGGGGCAACACTAATATAAACAACTATTCATGCACACTCTCATATCTGATCCTGCTGAAGAAAAGCATCCCCATAGCATTATGCTGCCACTACCATGTGTCACTCTGTGGATGTTGTTTTCAACTTGATGTGCACTGTTAGTTTACTGCCACACAGGAAAAGGAAAAATCAGGAGGTTGAAGTAGGATTCAAAACCAACCTTAATCCGTAAAATCTTAGCACCAGAGCTTCAACAATATAACAGGAAAAAGCAGCCAACTTAGTCCGAAATACTCCTCATAAAGCCATCCAGGTGGCTGAGAAGCGTTCTGGATGAGAAGCTTGGATGGTGAACCCGTTCGAAATAGAGTGGAAAAAGAGAGCTCTTTTTGGTTGGAGGTCAAATCTGAGCTACATGTGTGCACTTCACAGAGAACTTGGTCACCTAATTAATTTCAGCAGAAATTAGGAGAGACTGTAAAATAGGGAATGAACAGTCGTTAACAGAAGTGACTGTCGAGGAGTGGATAACTGCTGTGGGCTACTCAGTTGTCCAAGCCACCAGTTGAAGAAGGGCGAGACTTCTTGAAAAGATAGGCTGCTAGAGGTTAGGCGATTCATTTCCCGACACCAGCTTAAAGAGATTTTCCAGTAAACCTGCTTAGTAAGACCTTCCAGGTTTAGGGAAGTCCGGACCCGTTGGATGGAGAGCTGGATTGAGCAATCCCCTTAGAAATAGGGAAGTAGGAGGGAAGGGTTAACTCATCGGACAATGAAACTATTCATTACCAAATCAGGTTTGAATATGATATATTTAAAGCTAATCCAAAACGAAAGCATTTTCAGGCAGACATCAAAAATTATATTCTGTTTGTCTGAAAATAGAAACAAAAAAAGCAGAAATAATTCAGAGATGCGCAGCAACATGTTCACGTGAGACGCTGTTGGTTGGATAAAGGAAAAGGAGGGATGTGATTCTGCGTCGGCAGAGGCAAAGGTGATGCCTTAGAAGGTTTCTCATTCGTCCCTCAGAAAGGAAGACATGAAGTGGCGTGACCCTTTAAACCACCGATTCTTTTGCACAAAAAATCAGAACAGGAGTCTGGTTTCCTTTCCGTGCACTCAAAAGGTCAAATTTCCTTCAGAGCGGTAAATGACTGATGTAAACTTCAGTGCAGTCAGCGCAGCGTGGCATATGCTTTAAAATAGAACATGCGAGGTATAAGGACAGGAAAAACATTCAACAAAACTTGAAGCATGAAGTGAGATGGTAAAGATGCACATTTGGAATCAAGAATTACTGGAAATGCTTATCCTCACTGGAGGATATATTTAGAATAGAATATCTAGAATTCAAAGTTAAAAGCAACATTCAATAAAACTTCATGTAATGCCAAAAAGAAATAATGATTGTAAGCTTCTGTATCTTGTAAAAGCAGTCATACTTCTCTGCCTTCTGTGAAAAGACGTACATGTTCTTGAACTGCACTTAGCTACTAAAATTAAGCCCATTAACCATGACTTTGAAAAGCTCTCATTATGCAGTTTTTCAGCATCAAAAGGTTCTGTTTTTATGATAGGGGTATCAGACCATGAGTTGTTCTTCAACATATCCTACACATTCTCTATGGGATTAAGTTCTGGACTATTGTGGACAATCGATGTGTGAAAGCAGTGTCTTGTGGTCTCTGAACAACTCTTTCACAATTCAAGCCCACTAAATCCTGGCATTGTTTCCTGAAGTGAGATGGTTGTTTAAGGAATGAGGAGCTGCTCACTGACTCACTTCGAGTTATTTAACTTGTTGCCAGCTGAATTGCTGCAGTACTTTTCCAATTAAAGTCTCTTACCTATTGGTGTAATAAAGGTTTAAACTTTTTTTTATCCGTACAATGTTTTTTTGGTGTGAACTCGAAAGAACACCAAGATAATATCATGAACTGTTTATTAAATTTTAACAAGGTTAACTATTAAAACAGTTTAGTTTGGTTTTACATAAGCTGTGAATAACATTAAAAAGCAACTCCATCTTAAGCTAAACTGGAAAAGTACAGAACAGAGGAGGAGGCATAAAGGTCATTTAAAGGTTCTGAATTGCAAATGTCTCGGCTCTTCCTGATCAGGTATGATTTTTCCAATTGGGCTGAAGAGGGCAGGTCAGTGTTACACGCAGTGTCTCCTGTCGGGTTGCAGGTAAAACCAAATTTAGTGCCGCGGTGTCATCACGCAAATGCCACATAAAGTCTGCTGATGTCATATTCCCTGAGCAGCCATGTGCCAGATCAAAATGTGGAGATTTTGGGAAAAATTTTCTGGCTGAATGTTTACTGAATATTTACTGGCTTCTCTGAAACAAGGGCCTAAAATAATTTCATGTTTAACTACAGTGCCTTGAAGGGTATTCATACTTCTTCAACTTTTTCACACAGTGTGACTGTACAACCAGAAGCTTCAAGAACATAAATTGTTTGTGTTAGATCAACACATAATGTGACAGAAAACCTGTGAGGTGAAAAGACCATAAAATTAGGTTTTTCGATTCTTTACAGATACAATTTTAAGAAAAGTGTGGCATGCATTTTTCTTCAGCCCATTTTATCTCTTAATAAAATATTCAGAAGTCCCTTAATTTGTAAATAGAGTAAAGCTTTTCTTTGAAGCCCTGGGGGGTGGGGGGGGGGGGGGGGGGTTGTGTTAGTGAATAAATATCATCAGACGAGAAGGTTAAAAGGAAGTTTATAGCAGGGTCAGTTAAAAAAAAAATGAACCTCTGAACCTCTTCTAGAGCACTGCTCTTTTCATTATCTAAAAATGGAAGAGGTATGGCACAACTGCAATCATACAAAGGCATAAACATACCTAACCTGACAGGCAAGCAAAAGAGAACATTAATCAAAAATTTAGCCAAGAAGCCATGGTAACCCTGGAGAAGCTATTGTACCGTTTATAGCTATTGTGGAACAGTTACTGTGATAAGAATTCAGATTTATTGTGACAACGATAAACTCTAACTCATGATGTTTACAAACCCCCAAACCCTGGCTGTATGATTGGTATTGTTACTTTTGGTACCTGAACTGTTTTTTTTCCAAACTTGGTTTCATAAGGGTATCAACTAGATCAATGTATTTGAAAATATGATTTAAAACAGTTTTTGTGTGCAGTTGGCATTTCAGTTACACCACTTTAAATAACTGGTGTGCTAAAACTGTCTATTTAATGATGGGTAAGTTTTACTTTCAGGGGCCGGCGCTGGTAGTGTAGGGGTTAAGCGCATGACCATTTATAGAGGCTATAGTCCTCGATGCAGTTGTCCCGGGTTTGAGTCCCGGACCTGGCGACCTTTGCCGAATGTCTCCCCCTCTTTCCTGTCTGTCTGCTGTCGAAAAATTTAAAAAATAAAGACCTCTAGTGCCGCAAAAAATATATATATATATAAAAAAAATTTTACTCCCAGATCAGTATTTGTGTTTGCTGGACTCTGATTGTATGCATTTTATCATTACCATAACAAATGCCAAAAATTGCCATGATAAAACTTTAAGTTCATATTGTCTATCTGTAATCCATAGCTCAAGTGGGAAAATCAACACCACATCTACTTGTGACAAGAAGAAAGCCCATGTTGAAAGAAAGCCTTAAAAAGTCCCGTTTGCAGATTGCTGTCTCAGGGGGACACAGAAGACACATGGAAGAAGGTGCTCAGGGGCAGATGAGACCAATATCTAAATTACTGGCCTAAACATGAAATTTTATATTTGGAGGAAAACTAAAATGGCACGTCACTGTAAGAACACTATCCCCTCAGTGAAGCATGGTGGTGGCAGCGTCATGCTGTGGGGATGGCTTTACAGCAGGGACTGTGAAGCTGGTCAGAGTTGTTGGGTAGGTGGATGGAGCTAAATACAGGACAATACTTAGAGAATACTTGTTTGGACTGGAGGCAAAGGTGAACATTCGCCAATATATTCATAGACATGTTCTATTCAATCTGACCGAGCATTAATTGCTTCATAAAAAAAAATTACAAAAGTTTCAGTCTTTAGAAGAATAAAGCAGGCAGAGACATACACCAAAAGACTGGGGGCTTAATACACACACACACACACCATTCAGATATTTATTTTCTAAGAATCTTAATAAAAACATGTATCCTTTCTTTTCACTTCAAAGTGCTACTTTGTTTTGGCCTATCACATAAAATCCCAGTAAAATACATTAAAGTTTGTGGCTGTAACTTTACAAAATGTGGAAATGAGTTCAATGGGTATGAATGTTTTTTTAGAGATTAAACCGGCATTGGTCTTTGGTTCGGTGTTTGCCACTCGGATGCAGTGCAGGTCATGTTGGTGGAGCTCACATGAATCCTGGAGTTGACTTGAACCTGCTGAATCTGGCAGTGTTCTCAGAGCCTTCTGCTACATGGATAGCTCAGATGGTGGGTGGAGCAGCTGGCAGGGCGTCTGTGCATAGTCATAGGCCAGAAACAACACATTTGCTTGGTGTTAAGCTGCGAGAGAATCCAAATTTTCTAACTCATGCTTCTCATGATAAATAGCATTAAGTGCTAGGACTGGGTGGAATTTCGGGAGGATGTGGTCAGTCTAATCTGGTTATATGTGAAGGTAGCGTTCCAGCCTTTAAGACTGCCTTACTTGCTGACAGCTGGTGATTAACTGCTAAATGTGAATTATTGAGGTCTGGAGTTTGCGTGCATTAGAAGGAAGCATTCTTTTTAAAGACTTTGTAGAATGAAAACATGTGCTGACCTCTGCATTAACTCACGCAGTGAATCAGACAGATAAATGAACTCAATTCAGGGATTTGTGCTGCACTCTTGGTTCCAGGCATATGATGAGTAAAGCAATAATCATTGGAGGTTTTGCATCACTGGTGTTTAATCTGTCAGGTTTTTTTTCTCTGTTGCTCGTGCAAGTAAAATGCAGGAAAAAAATCCAAACCATAACTGACATGAATAAAATAAGCCATCTGACAGTTTTTTCTTGTTTGTTGCAGCTAAATGAAGTCAGCTCATGTAAAGATTTTGACTTGGATTCCGGCTTAACTATTTACTGGTGTTTTTGTGTAAACTGTTGCTGATAAAATGCAATATGTTGGCAGGTACATGCCAACAACCATTGGGATCTCTGCAGGGGTGCGATGCCTTGCTGGGGTGAGTCAATCAAAACATTCCTTCATTGCCCTTGTCATTAATTTGGCAGGTGGCTCCTCCATTTCACAAAATAGATTGGCTTGGTGTGATCTGGCTGATGCACCGCCAGAAAAAAGAGTGATGTTTTCCACTGATATGTTTGCAGATGAAGTAACCAGGAATTGGTATCAACCCATCTTTATTTGTTGGACCAGTAGTTACTGAGAAGTCTTTTGATGGTTACCAGGTTCGTATTGTAGTGCTGAAAATGTGAACTCAAAGGTTGGTTTTCTGTTGAACATACTGGATGTGCCTGTCCTGTTCTTGGTTTTTCAGGTGTACTGGAAAGAGCCACTGCGTGGTAGCAGGATCAACTGAAGATGAGCTCTTCTGTGAATAAACACAAAGCCCCGCTCTGCTCTGCTCTGCTCTGCTCTGCTCTGCTCTGCTCTGCTCTGCCCTGCCCTGCTCTGCCCTGCTCTGCTCTGCCCTGCTCTGCTCTGCTCTGCTCTGCTCTGCTCTGCTGTGATAGAATGCAGGAAAAACAAACTGAGCCACTTCTAGGGGATGTTGTGGATGGATTATGATCAAAGGAGCTGGCTTGAGAGGCAGAAGTGTGGACAATTATGTGACAAAAAAAATATCAAGCAGAGGAACTGGGAGAATAAATGCTCCTCCATTAATGTATATACTACTGGTCAGAGGTTTCAGAGTGCCTTTCTCATTTAATGGTTTTCTTTATGTTTATGACTATTTACATTGTATATAGATTCTCACTGAAGGCCTCAAAACAATGAATGAACACATATGCAATTATGTACCAAACAAAATATGTAACAGAACTTTAAATATGTTTTATACTGTATTTTAGATTCCTTAAAGTAGCCGCCCTTTGCTGTGATGACTGAAATATTAACCTTTGTCTCTCAAAGAACCTCTGGGCAGTTTTTTCAAGACTCTTTAAAAAAAACATTTCAGGTGACCACTTTCATGAAGCTCATGGAGAGAATACCAAGAGAGCAAAGCAGTAATCAGAGCAAAGGGTGGCTATTTTGAAGAATTCAAAATATAAAAATGTTTAAAGTTATTTCACACTTTTTGTAAACTACATAATTCCTGTGTCTTCATTTATAGCTATGTTGCCTTTGCTGAGATTCTACAATTTAAATAGTCATGAAAATAAAGAGACTCATTAAAGACTGGATGGAGAGCATTTGTGAATAGCTATTTATTAATCTTGCTACAGGTTCTGGACCTTAACTAGGCAGTTCTAACAGATTAATATACAATGATTAAACCATTCCATTGTAGTTCTGACTGTATGTGTTGTGTCATTCTCCTGCTGGTAGATTCCCTCATGCTCCATCCACTCCAGGACTTGTTCCACCTTTCTTTTAACAGCGGGTTTCTTCTTGCCAGCCTTCCAAAAAGAGAATATTTGTGGAGAGCACATTTAATAGCTTTCCTTAATAGTTGTCCTGTTGAAGGATTATCCCAGCTGAGTTGTAGATCTCTGCAGTTCCTCCAAGGTTACCACTGGCCTCTTGGCTGAATGACAGAGATGCATAATTGAGATGGGTATTTGGGAGGGCTGCAACTGCAGGAATTGCTGGAATGTGACATCTGATCCCTGCAGTGGATTTGGTCAATTATCATATTAGTGCACCACATGTATATGCTGCATATTGGCATAGAAGCTACAGAGAATGTATTGTATACAGGCCAGGACAATATTTAAGTGTTAATTAGTATTTATGCCCAACAGCTACAATTCAAACAGCTAAATATTCAGTTAGCAAACTGTTTGGGTGAAAATGAGTTTTCAAACTGCTTGATCAAATATCAAAAATGAGAAAATTGAAGAAGCTACAAAAATGAAGAAGCTTCCTGTTTTGGATCTGAAAAGTCTAGAAATTGTTTTTGCTTTAACTTGATTCTTGTACAATGTTTGTTACAATGTTTTTATTTTAGAACAATCAAACATAAGTCTAGAGAAAAATCACACATGTTGAGGATCTGAATTAGTAGAGCCTAAATTTTAAAGTTATTTGTAATTTTTCAAAACTTGCATAATCTTAAAATACGTTATGTGCATAGTGGGTGTTTATTTTATGTTGCTGATTTTTGCTTTTACAGTGACTGTATGTTGAGTTCCTTGCTTCATTGCATCTGAGTGTGTATTTCAGAAGCTGTGACTGACCAAATATAGGGATGTCAGGCTTGGCACTGCTTTAGCTAACAGGCTGTGAGAGAAATCTAAACACTTTGTAGCTCGTTGGAAATGTTATTGCAATTTTGATTAAGAGATGTTTCAAAATGTTGAAAACTATGTCAGACTTTTCTTAACATTTTTAGTTTTCAGTTACAGTTTTTTTTAATGCTAAAATTCTGAGGATGGATAAAGTAATACAACCGAAAAAATAAGACTGGGCATTTTGTTCCACATTGAATGAACATTTTACTTTGTTTATGCATCTGGATATTTATTTAAACTATCAGTATTGTTGTTTCCTGCTCAGTTCTTGCTAATGAGGGTCTGCAAGATTCTTTCAGGCTGCACAGTTTCCGTGTGTATGTGGTGGCCAGGATTTAACACTGTCCCTCCCTGCAACATTACATAATTTTGCTGGCCACCTGAACTTCCCAGAGGTTCACCGAGAGACAGCCAAAGGTTAATATTTCATTCATCATTCAGCAAGGGGCAGCTACATTAAGGAATCTAAAATAAAAACCATATTTAAAGGTTGTTTTTTTTTTTACAATTTTTTGCTTGCTACATAATTTCTTATGTGTTCATTCACAGTTTTGATGCCTTCAGTGAGAATCTACATACAATGTAAATAGTCAGAAACATAAAGAAAACCATTAAATAACATAGTGTTTCTAATGGCCAGCTTTTGACTGGTAGTGTAAATTCTCTATATACATTCTGTGTATTCTCTATATATTCCTCATGTCTTTTGATAGTGTTTTATGTAGCCCAACCCACTATGATGTACCTCATGGATCTGTATTGGTGCTTCTATTGTTTCTAATGTACATGCTACCTCGTGTGCACAGTTTGAGCGCTTCACAAAGTTGAAGCTCTGAAGAAAGTTAAATGAAGAAAAGACTGAAATCATTTTGTGTGCTTCAAATAAACTTCTTTCCCTGGTTATGAAAATTCTTCTTGCTTTAGCCACTTATGC